ATACACAGAACACACCATGACACACCAGAGAGTACACACACATGAGCCAATGAGCTTAGCCGGCATTGGACCAATGATGAAACGCCCTTGTGTCAGGACCAAGCCGTTGCCCTGGTCAAAACTGACATGTTTTTCTTTTCTTGTGTTATTGTTAATGTTTAGTATTTTATGATTGTGGTTAGATTTCAGTCAAAGGCCAGCCCACTCATTATATCCTGAGTCTAATCATGGTAAACGCGCAGTTAAACATCTCCAACATGATTGGTTAACGCATAATGACCATCCTCACATATATGCTACTAATATGTGGTGGAGATTTGCTAACCATACCGCTGCGGCTATGAATTTGAGTAATTGTTATGTGTGCACGCACATGCCTGTGTCAGGACATTCACCTCTGCTCTCACCGGTTCCACTTGATTACAACCATCCAGGATGGGGTGCCGCCTGGTGGACTATAGATGGTCACAAAAGGATTAATATGGCAGAATATCATCAGTGCCTTATGCAGCTGATGTCCTCAGGTTACACCTACATGTCAGAATACTTTTATAAAGACTGTAATTCTTATACACTAACATTTCCAAGTCAAACAGATCCGCTCATTTCTGTTGTCCTCATTCCAAGTGATTTTCAAGCAGCACATTGTTATATTGGAAACGGCACAAGGCGAGTGGGCACCCTCTCTCCTGTACAGTGCATGGAAATTGTCCCTGCCCAATCATTAGGGACCCTGATTGTAATGACATTTTGTACATTCGTTTTTCTAATTCTAGTGTGGTCTGTGATGGTTGGAAGTTAGATGTAACGCATGTTAAGTCTTTATTTTACACTCATCAAGCTTAAATAGATAATTTTGCCACAACAATTTTTCATTTTAAACCACGTAAACAAAATGGAATCTTTGGAAAAGAATGAATGAAATTTAAATGCTTCATCTAGAATCTCATCAGTGACCCATGGGCGTCCATGACCCTGTCTCCAGTTCACCAAGTGTCCTTTCTTAGACACAGTTGGTAGGTACTAACCACTGCAGACCAAGAACACCCACTAAGACCTGCAGACTGGGAGATGCTCTGACCCGGTCATTTCACCATCACAGTCTGGCCCTTGTCAAAGTCACTCACATCCTTACACTTGCCCATTTTTCCTGCTTCCAACACATTTGAGGACTTTGAGGACTGAATGTTCACTTGCTGCCTAATATACCCCCCCCCCCCCCCCCCCCCCCCACCGCCCCCCCACACACACACACACACACACACACACACACACACACACACACACACACACACACACACACACACACACAGATATTGGTGAATATTTGCGTATGCAAGTATATATTTAAACACACACTCACACATAGATTATCATATTTTTCATTTAAATTAGCAGGAGACATGCTATTTAATTTGAAAATTCCACATTCTTGAAGTGGTATTATTCTGCCTTTCAGGCTTCAAATTATCTTGTTTGAACATCTAGTTTAGTCCTTTAAGGGAAATATGTAAGCTCTAGCTAATTTTCTTGGTTTATAGTTCCCTCTAGCGGGCGAGCATCTCCAGCAGGAACTAAGTTTATATCCATTTTAGCCCAGATGTTTTTAGGGATACACTCAAGATGTAAGACACAACAGTTTCATGGCTTTTTTTCAAGCTCCGGTGCTCCTTGGGTTAGCATTATCAGTAGGTTTCTGGTGCTATGTTTACTCTATGTAGCATTATCTTGTGCCATTGTAATACAGTGTGTAGTTTGAGTGTTTTTACATTGACGTTAATACTTCCTGTTCCTCTCCATGTGTATTGGCAACGCCACGTTAGCATTTGTAACCATCTTGTTTCCAGTCTTTTATCCTCTGTTAGTACAATGTTAACTTAGTGTGTCGTGACTTCTAACGACAATTTATGTATAATGTATTCGGATCACATGTTAAAACGAACATGTCCTTTATTTCTGTTTCAGTTTTACAAAAAGAGGAAAAGAAAAAACAAATAGGGGTTCTACAGTAGAGCTCCAAAGAATCATTCTTCATCATCTCTGGAGTTTTCCTCTGTGGGCCTCTTGTGTTTAGCTCGCTGCATAAGCTAAGCAGCTGATGTTTAGCTGAGGGCAGAAGAAGTATTTAATTTATAGATTACTACCTCTGCGTGGTTACATCACATTTTCTGCACCGATACACTTGTGTTAGGAAACACAAAATGGAGAGGTGAGGTAATATCTACATGCCTAATGACTGATTTATGTTCTAAAATAGAGTGCTGTGGGGGTGAAGGCTCTTCAGTGGGTCATAAAGACTGCAGAGAGGATCATTGGGACTGAACTGAACTGCCTGCTTTTCCCAAGAAACCATCCATCTCCCCAAGAAACCCTCCGTCAGTGGACTGCACGACTACAGACCTGTCGCCCTGACATCTGTAGTATGAAGTCCTTCAAAAGACTGGTGTCGGCCCACCTGAAGGACATCATAGACCCCTGCTGGACCCCCTGCAGTTTGCCTACCGGACAAACAGGTCAGTGGACGATGCAGTGAACATGGCACTGCATTACATCCTGCAACACCTCGACTCCCCAGGGACATATGCATGGGCCCTCTTTGTGGACTTCAGCTCAGCATTCAACACCATCATCCCGGACATCCTCCACTCCAAACTGACCCAGCTCACTGTGCCTGCCCCCGTCAATGGATTACTAGCTTTCTCACAGACAGGGAACAACAGGTGAGGCTGGGGAAAACCACATCCAGCACAGGTGCCCCCCAGGGATGTGTGCTCTCCTCTCTGCTGTTTTCACTCTACACCAACGACTGCATCTTGAAGGACCCCTCTGTCAAACTTCTAAAGTTTGCTGATGACACAACAGTCATTGGTCTCAACCGAGACGAGGACGAGTCAGCCTACAGGCGAGAGGTTGAGCAGCTGGTCCTGTGGTGTAGCTGCAACAACCTGGAGCCGAACACACTCAAAACAGTGGAGATGACAGTGGACTTCAGGAAGAGCCGCCCCACCTTACCCCCCCTCACCATACCTGGCAGCACTGTATCAACAGTAAAGTCCTACAAGTTCCTGGGCTCCACTATTTCCCAGAACCTGACGTGGACGTCCAACATCAGGACCATCACCAAGAAGGCACAGCAGAGGATGTACTTCCTGCGCCAGCTCAGGAAGTTCGACCTGCCCCACAAGCTGCTGATACAGTTCTACAGAGGAATCATTGAGTCTGTTCTCTGCACCTCCATCGCTGTCTGGTTTGGCTCAGCAACCAAACAGGACAAGTACAGACTTCAGTGGACAGTGAGGACTGCAGAAAAGATCATTGGTGTGAGCCTGCCCTCCATGGAGGACCTGTACACCTCACGGGTCAAAAGGAGGGCGGAGAGGATCACTGCTGAGCTCTCACACCCCGGATACAATCTGTTTGAACTCCTCCCCTCTGGACGGCGTTACAGGTCACTGTGCACTAAGACAACCAGGCACAGGGACAGTTTCTTCCCCCAGGCTGTCAATCTGATGAACACTTAACCCACGACAGTATGACTGGACAATAACCCTCAGTGCAATACCTGTAAATATACCTCATACAGATTATAGAGACTTGCGAGTCAAATTCCTCGTGTGTCCAACAAACCTGGCCACTAAACTGATTCTATGGACACACTGTACACACAGCACTTTCGTAAAAGGGCAGAGAACATACTCAGGGATCCACGCCACCCAGCCCACTCTCTGCTCAGACACAAAAACTGCACCTACAGCCTCAGGCACAGCAGGGCGGACAGTATCATCACACACAGAACAAGACTTTACAACAGCCTTTTCCCTGCCGCAGTAAGACTGATAGCAAATATGAAAATGTGAGAAATGTGAGAATATATGTGCAATAATACCTTACTAGACGTGCAATAATACAAAAATGTTCCACACGGTATTTTTGTAAGAGCATCTCATCAACAGTGTTCTCTTGTGGGACCTGAATAACAACAGGACATTCTCTACCAAGCAATGGAAACGAGCCTGAATATAAACTGTGTTTTAGTATGTTATAACCCTTCACTACCTCACCAAGCGCAATGACACAACTCCACCATGTGAATTACTAAGTGCAATGTTTGAAGTTCAATGTGGGAAATACAGTACTATTACCCTATTTTTGTGTATTGTGGTTTTTAATGCTTTGTTGCCTTTATGTAACTTTTTATTTTAAGACTAAATATTCTTTCTGGCTTTTGGCTCCTTACCTGACTCCAAAGGAGAGCTGCACAAGAATTCCTATATGCCTAGACTGTTTGTTTATGCATAAATGGCAAATAAAAATCTTGACTTGACGGAAGTTAACATCGCCCTGGTTCCCTCAACAAAAAGCCAATGGGATTTTTCCATAGGCTTTCGTATTATTGTGGACAATAAAGTCTGTGACAAACAGCGAATGACACACGTTTTGTTCAGCAAGATAATCCTCACAAATCAACACTACTTGAATATTTACTGACACATTTTATTTCACAGAACAAAATGTGAAAAGCTTTGTGTTAACCACAGTCCTTATTTCAGGCATCTAACCCAAAACAGGGTGCCACAGGCACAGCTGAAACCAGTCCCCAATGAATATGCTATTTCCTCTTCTTAGAATAACATTTACTAAAAAGTACCCAGCAGATTTAGGAACTCGTGTAACCCTTTAAAATGATAGCGACTTTGGCCTTTGACCTACACACACAGATACAATGAAATTCCCTACAAAAGTTCCTGAGATATTGTGTTCACAAAAATGAGACAAACGTGAGGATACTGTGACCCTTGACCTTTGACCACCAAAATCTAATCACTTCATTTCTGAGTCCAAGTGGACACTTGTACCAAATTTGCAGAAATTCCCTCAAGGCGTCACTGACATATCGTCGACGTAGTGACAGACAGACAACCTGAAAACATAATGCCTCATGCCGTGGCGATCACCGACAGAGGCATAAAAACACACACAGTTACAGTCACACAACACACCTCATGCGACAGATGAAGGAGCGCCTGGAGCCCATGCACATCCTCATGGAGGACTGCTGTCCCTCCTTCTTTACTGTTCCCGTCTTCAGGTCCAGAATCCGTCCTGTTAACATGAAAACATGATCTCAAATTAAAATTACACACCATGTACACAGATAACATAAAATCATTTTGAATTTGATTGCCCAGACATTGTATGATACTGTCAGTACCTGATGTAACGAAGGTATTGGAAATTTGAGATCAACTTTTATTAATGAAATCATAAAACAGCAGGTGTAATTTGTGTGTATGTCAACGTTGGAACAGTGGTCTCATAATACCAAACCAGAAGACGCTGGGACGGTATGTAAAGTCAAAATAAAAACTGAAAATAGTGATGTGTAAATCCTCTGTGTCCTGTATTACACTGAAAACAACACAGCAGCACAATATCTGATGTGACACCTCATAAACTGTATTCTTTGTTCAAAATAAACTATTCAATCCTGATGCTGCAACACATTCCAATAAAGTTGGCACAGTGAAGAATTTACCACGGTGTGAATAACCCCCCGGTTGCCCTTGATGGTTTTCTGAAGGAAATGCGTATGGATGCTGAGTGCTGAAAAATCGCCCTGAAAATGTTGAACATTTTGACGCCTGAATGCTTTTGATAGCTGAAAGTATACTGAAGTGGAAGTTGAATGGGGCAAAATTTTCAAAGCTAAATATTTCAAAAGTATGAGGTTTAGAAAAATTCTGAAGAGAAACATGAATGTCCTTGAAGAGCTGAATATTTTGATAGCTGATAAAGTTGAAAGTGTGCTGAAGAAGAATTTTTCCATTCATTTGAATGGGGCAAGATTTTCAAAATAAAGCTAAATATTTCAAAAGTATGAAATTTACAAAAGTTCTGAAGAGAAGCATGAATGTGCTTGAAGAGTTGAACATTTTGATAGCTGAAATTATCCTGAACTTGAATTTTCCCATTCATTTGGATGGGGCAAGATTTTCAAAATAAAGCTAAATATTTCAAACGTATAAAGTTTAGAAAACTTCTGAATAGAAACATGAATGTCCTTGAAGAGCTGGACATTTTGATAGCTGAAAAAGCTGAAAGTGTGCTGAAGTAGAATTTTCCCATTCATTTGAATGGGACAAGATTTTCAAAATAAAGCTAAATATTTCAAAAGTATGAAGTTTAGAAAACTTCTGAATAGAAACATGAATGTCCTTAAAGAGCTGAACATTTTGATAGCTGAAATTATGCTGAAGTAGAATTTCCCATTCATTAGAATGAGGCAAGCTTTTCAAAATAAAGCTAAATATTTCAAATGTATGAAGTTTAGAAAACTTCTGAATAGAAACATGAATGTCCTTAAAGAGCTGAACATTTTGATAGCTGAAATTATGCTGAAGTAGAATTTTCCCAATCATTTGAATGGGTCAAGATTTTAAAAATAAAGCTAAATATTTCAAGAGTATGAAGTTTAGAAAATTGCCCCATTCGTTTGAATGGGGCAAGATTTGTTGAAAAATGCTAAATAGTTGAAAAAGTATAAATGTTACAAACAAGAAAAATACAAGCACACATGTCCTTATAAAGCTGAACATTTTGATACCTCAATGGCTTCTGTAGCTGAAAGTATGGTGAACTTATTAAAAATGTGAAAATATCCCTACTGGTCCCCAAAAAGTAGATAAAACACATAGGGTTGTGTGTGTGGGTGTGTAGGTGTTTGTGTGTCTGTGTGTATGTGTGTGTGTGTATGAAAATGAAAGAGTAGTCCTACACCCTGAGGACTACTAGGGTGTGGCTATGGAAATGGGGTATAAAATATAAGCAGTAATTATGCAAAAACTGTAAAAAAAATATCAAAAAGCTGTGTACATTATGAATAGCTGAAGAGTTGCTGAATAGATAACAGTTGAAATGGTATTTTTAGCTGAAGGTATGCTGAAGTTAAGATGAAAATTTTTCCCATACATTTGAATGGGGCAAAATTTGTTTAAAAATGCTAAATAGTTGAAAAAGTATAAATGTTACAAACAAGAAAAATACAAGCACACGTCATTACAAAGCTGAACATTTTGATACCTCAGTGGCTTTTGTAGCTGCAAGTATGCTGATGGAATTAAGTGCGAAAAACGTACAGAAGAAATCAGAATAATAACTAGAGAATTGCATTTTCTGAGGAAAATGCATATGGATGCTGAGTGCTGAAAGATTGCCCTGAAAATGCTTAACATGTTGACACCTGAATGGTTTTGCTAGCTGAAATTATGCTGAAGTAGAATTTTCCCATTTATTTGAATGGGGCAAGATTTTCAAAATAAAGCTGAATATTTAAAAAGTATTAAGGTTAGAAAACTTCTGAAGAGAGAAGCATGTATGTCCTTGAGGAACTGAACATTTTCATATCTGAAATAGCTGAAAGTATGTTGAAGCAAAAGCATCCCATTCATTTGAATAGGGCAAGATTTTCAAAATAAAGCTAAATATTTCAAAAGTATGAAGTTTAAAAAACTTCTGAAAAGAAGCATGAATGTGCTTGAGGAGCTGAACATTTTGACAGTTGAAAGTATGCTGAAGTAAAATTATCCCACTCACTTGAATGGGGCAAGATTTTCAAAATAAAGCTAAATATAGTAAAAGTATGAACTTTAGAAAACTTCTGAAGAGACGCATGAATGTCCCTGAAGAGCTGAACATTTTGATAGCTGAAATTATGTTGAAGTAGAATCTTCCCATTCATTAGAATGACGCAAGATTTTCAAAATAAAGCTAAATATTTCAAATGTATGAAGTTTAGAAAACTACTGAATAGAACCACGAATGACCTTGAGGAGCTGAACATTTTGATAGCTGAAATTATGCTGAAGTAGAATCTTCCCATTCATTTGAATGGGCAAGATTTTCAAAATAAAGCTAAATAGTTAAAAGTATGAAGTTTAGAAAACTTCTGAAGAGAAGCATGAATGTCCTTGAGCTGAACATTTTGAGAGCTGAAAGTATGCTGAAGTAGAATTTTCCCACTCATTTGAATGGGGCAAGATTTTCAAAATAAAGCTAAACATTTTAAAAGTATTAAGGTTAGAAAACTTCTGAAGAGGAGCATGAATGTCCTTGAAGAGCTGAACATTTTGATAGCTGAAAGAGCTGAAAGTGTGCTGAAGTAGAATTTTCCCATTCATTTGAATGGGGCAAGACTTTCAAAATGAAGCTAAATATTGTAAGTTTAAAATTATGAGAGAGAGAGAGAAGTCACAATTACACCCTGTGGACTACTACAGTGTGGCTATTGAAATGAAACATTATGAGGATTGCCCTGAAAATGCCTGAAATCAATTGTTTAAAGAGCTGAAGGATGAGAAGATATGGATGAAGTTCTTTGTTGAAATAGTTGACAACACAAAGATGCCATAGCAATAGTGAACTACATTAAACGGCGTGCCAAGAACAGCTGCTGTTTCATACAGCTGTGCAAAGACCT